CTGGGAATGAAAACAAACTGGTATTACATTTTTTCAGGTTCACTATATTTATTTAATTCTACAACATTTAGTTTATGATTTCTGTATACCTTTGCAATAGCATCCTGTCCTCATCCTACCAGCCTTGCTGTATTTTCTACAATATCACATCCCATCTACCTGCTCAAATTGTTTGTGTCAGAACAGGAATTATTTTTTGCAGGCTATTTTCTCCCCTTAACTAGTTAAAGATATAACTATGTCAGCAAGTTAACTATCAAGTTGCTTGAAGAAGGGTTTAATTTGCAAGAACATTTGCTGGCTCTGCGGCGGTACCATTTTATGGAACTTGCTGACTGGGCTGATTTGTTTATCATGTCCCTTTGGCATCATGTATGTTTATCTAGTTAGTCTCTAGGTTGAATCATTATCATCATCAATTGACATGATTCACAACCATGATGCCTTTCTAATTATTTCCTTCAACTTGCAATTGGCAGAAATGGTGGGCTACTGAGGCAGATAGGAGAGTTTCAGAAATTCAGGGGCTCCTTGAGTTATCCATTCAGAGGTCATCATGTGAACAAGACCATAAGAGAGATAGGTTATTTGTGTACATGAAAGGAGATGGCATGGTGCCTCTATCGACCTCAACAGTTGGTACAATCCTTTTCAAATCTCTTATCTTCATATTTGTATGATCAAGTCAAGGACTAGCGTTTTAGCATTCTATTTATTTCTTTCCACTTTATTTGTTTTATTTTTATTTTTTTTTACTGATTAGTATGCAACAATGGCAGGAGTTCATTCATTTGATTTTTTGGGTTTGGGCTATAGAGTGGATTGGCCTGTCAATATTATTTTAACTCCTGCTGCATTGAAAATATATGCTGATATATTCAGCTTCCTGATCCAATTGAAGCTTGCTATTTTTTCATTGACTGATGTTTGGTGCTCATTGAAGGTAAGAAACCTCATCAGAAAAAATTTGGAAGTGTAATAGTGCAAATCATGTTAAAGAACTTGATGCTTCATACAGGATGTGATGCACTTGATCAGTAAGAAACACCATTCTGCAGTACATAAACATGAAATTGCCAAGTTTAACATGTTGATGAAGTTGAGGTAAACTAACAGGTTACTTCTTTTAAGTTTTATCTTTATTAGTACATTCTTTATCCCTGTGAGAAATTAGCCACTACTGAAAGCATTTCTCACCAAGTCAGTCAACCTTAGGCATTATTTGTTTCTCCATTTGCAAACTAGTGATTCTTTCCTCTCTTTTTTTTCATTTCTCTTTTGTATGCTAGGCATCAGGTCAATCATTTTGTATCAACATTACAGCAATATGTGCAGTCACAACTGTCGCATGTATCATGGTGCAGGTTTCTTCACTCGTTTAAGCACAAGGTTTGAGGCAGCTTGTGTTTTTCACCTTTTATGGTTTATGTTATGCCAAATTCTTTTTGTCCTTTAGTGATACAGGAAGGTAACTTTCCATCTTTTCCCTTTAGCCATAAAGTATGCTTTAGATAGTGAATAATCCCATCCAAATTGTGTTTCCCCTCTTTGAAATTGCACAAAGATGAATACAGACTTTTCCCTGCTTTGACTTGTTATAAACCTAAATCCTTGATATGGGTTATTGCTTTTGTAGGTCAAAGATATGATGGATCTTGAGTCAGTGCATATGGCATATTTAAGTGATTCCCTACAGATGTAAGTTATATTTCATTATTTTGTTCTCATTTGAAATATGTTTATCGTGTTTATTTTCAAATCTTTTAGCCTTCATTTGTCATAAACTGATTTTCTTTCTTTTTTTCTTTCCTTTTTTTGTTAAACTTCATTCTAAATTAAACAGATGCTTTCTCTCCAAGGAAACACAATCTATAGCCACCATTTTAGAAAGTATTCTGCAGTGTGCACTAGACTTCAGGTCTTGTCTTTCTGGGGCTGTATGGGATATGCGACATGATCAAGGTGATTTGCTGGATAAACTTTCTAGGGTCAATATATCCCAGGTAATCCTCGCATATTGTTCCATGACGTTGCACACTCATCTTAATTTGCATTTTTAATTCCCTAGAAGTTTTTGTATGCGTATCGTTGAGTGCAATACTTGATATTAAAAGGTCATGTCCAATGGGTTTCTATTTTTCACTGTGGAGTGTGGCCATTAACCATTTTGCTGAATAATAAAATAATACCAATATCTTTTATGTTTAAATAAAGATTATAGATCACAAAATAACGACTTTTGAGGCCGCTAATCACATTTGATGTGCAGGTTCTTGCCATAAAGCAGAAGTTTGACAAAAATCTGAAGGAATTGCATCTGTGTTACCTCAAGTCACCAAAACATGGGGAGTTTGGACTCTCCCGTTTCTGGGGATATCTCAACTACAATGACTATTACTTAGATGAAAATGAAATATGCCATTATATCTTTTCAGTCTAAAGCTCCATGCCTTGCTAATTGCATCTGGCAATGCTTTCAACCAATATCTGCGTGAAGACTATCTACATCTTTGCATTGGCTTTCCTGCAGGTTCCTTGTCTATGCAAGGTGAGACATTCACCTTTCTTTGGCTTGGTATACTGAATTGTGATGCATGAGTTAATGGCATGGTGCTTCTGCCATCTTAATTAGTAGAGTAAAGCAAGCCCTACAATTTTCTTGTTGACATATGTATTATAACATTTAGCCTTAGCCTATGCTACATAGTTGCTATATCAAAATGAGCTGCAGTTACATGTATAGTAGTGGAAAATGATTACAGTAAATGTTTGTCCAATATTTCCTGTGTTCCCCCATGTATGCAAAATCAATGTAATTCTGACAATCAACATTATTCCAATATGACATTCATTATGAATATTCTACTTTTCTCATAGTAAAAGGAAAATGATTCACAATCCTTACTTCATAATAGTATCAGAATTCTCTGCATGATAATAATTATGATCCCGTGACAAATTGCATGAATTAATATTTGTATCTATTCTAAGATTGAGATATTGAGTTTTTGTATAAGCTTCGATAGCAAAATAACCTATTTAAGTTTAAGTAATATATTTTTCCTTAAATGCATTTATGAGTAAAATTACATGCCAATTACTGTTGCTGAAGGCGCCACTGGTAAGATCTACAATGTGATACGTGAATCGGTAGGGCATGTCGCATTGGAGTCTCATCTTATTATATTATATTCATAATAAGTCAATACATTTGCTATGTATATATAACGAGAGCCCGGAAATTTTAGGCCAGGAAATTTGAGAAATTTTGGAGAATGCTTTTAGCTGTAATGCACGCGGCAAGCATCTTGGATCCAATTGATATTTTAAAAACAAACTATAACTTTTTTAAAAAGGCAACCTTCAAAACAAAATTTTAATTATTTTTAATTATTGGTACATATTACTAAATTAATTTAAGTGGAAGGAATTTAATTTTTTTAAATAAGGTTTTAAATTTAAATTTTATAAATAAAAAAATAAATATAAAGAGTGTTTTTTATAAAACTTAATACAATTTGATTTTAAATTAATTAATATTTAATAAAATTTTTAGATATTGAAAAGCACATTTAAAAAACAAATGAGTGTTGTAAGAAATAGTTTTTTAACCTATTTTGTAAAGAAGTTTCTTAAAAGTTGCTTTGCACCAAATAAGCCCTCTATTTTTTTTTTTTTATAACAACTATAATTTTTGGAAAAAAGAGAAAGAGGATTGGGCTGGTAATCCTTAAATTTTAACCGAGTGGTAAGTAATATCATTTTTACCTACCCATTCGTGAGGTTGAAGCAAGCACCATTGTTACTAAAAAGACAGGCGCAAGACATTATTTTTTTTAGAAAATATGTGAATTAGTTGGAAGGCTCGTTTAAAAAAAAAAAAAAAGAAAAGAAAGAAAGAAAGAAAAAAAAGTTGAGAGTGAAAATGAAGATTTAAACTATGTTATACAGGGGGGAAGCTCCTCATGCTAATAAATGCCCTCCTTACCATAAAACCCTTTTTTTTTTTTTTCTAACAATTTGTAATTATTTATGGAGTTAATTGGAGGAAGGAGAAAAAGGATTTTGTGGAGTTCGAATGTAAAACCCATAAAAATAAACAGTTCTAACTTAAAATCTAATATCACTGAATAGGAGGGTATCTATTTAAATCTTTTTTCTTTTTGGGTCAGAACCATAAAACATTTTTGACAACTTTTAAGAAGTGTTCTTGGGAGTCTCGGGACTTGCGAAACTACTTATATTTTATGATATCATTACTAGGTGTATTGTGGTCGCAGGAGTCTTGGATCCAGTAAAGCAGCAGCAGTTAACTAGTACATCATTTTTTTTTAGCAAAAGTACTTTTTAAGTCCCTAACTTATTTTAAAATAATATTTAAATTCTTAAACTAAAAAGAAAATAAATAAATCTTTTAACTTTATTAACTATGTAAATAAACTCTTCTCATAAATTTTTCAAATGATATTTCATGTTTATTATCAACTTAAAAGCATGAACACCTATTAATAAAAAGAGTTTATTTACATTGTTATTAGAGTTGAAGGGTGTATCTACTTTATTTTTAGTTTAGGTACTTAAATATTATTTTGAGATAAGTTTGGGGGCTTAAGAAGGGTTTTTGCTTTTTTTTTTTTTAGTTCTAATTCATCGTTTACTTGTATTTTTCTATTTCAATGGTCGCAATAATTTTGAGGATAGAAATTTAGAATTCGAGCGAAGCTTCTTGTCTATCATAATCCCCAGAAAAATGAAAAGGATAATTTTTCTTTTTTGCGTCTTTGCCTTTCCTCTTTGGCGAGCTATTTCTTGAGTCTCTGTTCGGTGCATGGAAGAAGGTCAAAATTTGGCTTCTTTTTTGAGAATGTATCTTTCGAACGGGACAGCAAAACTGACAACACGAAATGAAGGAAAAAAAAAAATTATATATATATATTGGAATTTAATGAAAATGGAATAGTTAAGGCTATAGACAAAGACATCAACAAACATCATTTTTTTTTTTTTTTTTTTTTACCTGCTTCTTTTCCTTGAGAAATTATTTTGTTTTTAGTATGGTAGATTGTTAGTGATTCAGAGAAATGGAGGAAGAGCAGAGTGAGAGAGGAATTCAGAGGTTGGTTTTTGCAGTTAATGGACAGAGGTTTGAGCTATCCCACGCTGACCCTTCTACTACTTTGCTTGAGTTCTTGCGTTCGGAGACTCCATTCAAGAGTGTCAAGCTCAGCTGTGGGGAAGGTCTCTCCTTTTGCTCTTCTGCTTCATAGATAATTATTAGCTGTGTTCTTTTTGTGTGTCTTGGTTATGGTGGTTTTGTGAGGTTATTTCCTTGGATAAGGATTTAATCAATCAACAACGTTTGTTTTAATCTGGGGTTGACATTTCCTGTTTGATGGGATAACGGATTTTCTTCAAATGAATGGCGAATGGATGTATGGATGCACTTTTGTATCATGTTAGGATGTCTATGCCTGTTTGATTGAATTTAACTACAAAAACTAATGTATTATTTGGTTGTATGAAGCCAATATGAATGGATTCTTTGGTGATATTGTTGCTTTCTGAAGGCTAGATGGATGTTCTTCTGAAATACAAGTTTATGGTTTTTGGCTGCTGAATTGGATATGGTTTCTTTCTTCTTTCTTATGCATTTTAGTGTTTGACTGGGTTGGTGGACTATATATGTGACTCCTTGAAATGGGTTGTTCATTTTTTGTTTACTATTGATCTACAAGGAGGTTCAGGAGAAGCTAGTTTCTTGTCTCATATTTGTTTGCTTGTTAATGTACTTGTTTATTTCGTTTAATCATTGTCCAAACAGGAGGCTGTGGTGCCTGTGTTGTCCTACTGTCCAAGTATGATCCTGTCACAGACCAAATAGAGGATTTTACCATCAGTTCATGCCTCACATTGCTCTGCAGTCTAAATGGCTGTTCAATCACAACAGCTGAGGGGATCGGGAACAGCAAAGTTGGATTCCACCCAATTCAGGAAAGATTTGCTGGTTTCCATGCTTCTCAATGTGGTTTTTGCACGCCTGGGATGTGTGTTTCTCTATATGCTGCTATTGTTAATGCTGAAAAGACTCTTCGGCCAGAACCCTCACCTGGATTCTCCAAGCTGACAGTCTGTGAAGCTGAAAAGGCAATTGCAGGAAATCTTTGTCGGTGTACTGGTTACCGATCCATTATTGATGCTTGTAAAAGTTTTGCAGCTGATGTTGATATGGAGGATTTGGGGTTAAACTCCTTTTGGAGAAAAGGAGAGAGTAACGAAGTGAAACAGAGTAGATTACCCTTGTTAAGATGTCATAATGCAATTTGTAAGTTTCCTGAGTTCTTGAAGGAGGAAATCAAGGCAGCTGCCTCTGTGGCTTCTGAAGGAAACTGTTGGTATAGTCCTGTTAGTCTTCAGCAGCTACAGAGCTTGTTGCAACCCAATGAGGCCAAGAATGGAACATCAACAAAATTTGTTGTTGGTAATACAGGAATGGGGTACTATAAAGAGTTAGAACAATATGACAAATACATTAATTTGAAATATATTCCTGAGCTCTCAATGATTAGGAAAGATGAGACAGGAATAGAAATTGGAGCAGCTGTGACAATCACCAAGGCCATTGAAATTCTAAGGGAAGAAAACAAAGGTGAATTTTACCAAGAAGGTAAGATGGTATTTATAAAAATTGCTGATCATATGGAAAAGATTGCTTCAGGGTTCATAAGGAATTCAGCTAGCATAGGGGGAAATCTTGTGATGGCACAGAGGAAATCTTTTCCATCAGATCTTACTACAGTACTGCTTGCTGTGGGTACAATGGTGAATATAATGGGTGGTCAGAGACAGGAGAGACTTACGTTGGAGGAGTTCCTTGGGAAACCTCCACTGGATTCAAGAAGTGTTCTTCTAAGCATTAGAATCCCACGCTGGAATTTAAGTAGAGATGTTTCTTCCAAAACCAACACTGAGATACTATTTGAAACCTATCGAGCTGCACCACGACCTCTTGGAAATGCATTGCCCTATTTGAATGCTGCTCTCTTGGCTGAGATTTTCCCCCGTGAAACTTCTAACAGAATAATAATAACTAGTTGTCGGCTGGCTTTTGGTGCTTATGGGACCAAACACTCTATCAGAGCATGGAAGGTTGAAGAATTTCTTACTGGAAAGGTGTTAACTATTGGAATTCTGTATGATGCTATTAAATTGCTTGAAACTATTGTAATACCTGAAGATGATACCTCCTACTCCACTTATAGGTCAAGTTTGGCTACAGCCTTCCTTTTCAAGTTCTTAAGCCCCTTAATTGACACCAATGCTGAAATTTCTAATGCTTTGTTGAATGGATATACTAGTTATCAGTTGCCAAAGAATTCTAGAACAAAACAGAACTATGATCAGTATGGTGAAATAAAATCCCCAACTTTGTTATCATCTGCAAAGCAGGTATTTCAATTAAGTAAAGAATATCATCCAGTGGGTGAGCCACTAACAAAATCTGGAGCTGCCATCCAAGCTTCTGGTTTGTCATGTGTTCTGATTCCATTGTTTCATTAAAAATTCAAGTTTATTTTATTGACAATTTTCTTCTAAGAGTCACTTTTGCCAATTATGTAGGTGAGGCTGTTTATGTGGATGATATTCCATCTCCAAGAAATTGTCTACATGGAGCATTTATATATAGCACAAAGCCTTTGGCACGGGTGAATGGTATAAAATTTAAGCCTGGATTGGATGAAGTCTCTGCACTTATTTCTTTCAAAGACATTCCTGGAGAGAATGTAGGTTCAATGACCATATTTGGTACCGAGCCTTTGTTTGCTGATGAGCTTACTCAGTGTGCTGGTGAACGCATTGCCTTTGTGGTGATTACATGGTTTTGTCCCTTTTTTTTTTTTTTTATCCTGTTTGATACTGGAGGTCAAGTTTCTTTTTATAGGTTTTTGATTCCAATCTCTCAATTAAATGATATTTTCAGCAATTTGATAATTGAAATGACCTTTTCAGGTTGCAGATACACAAAAGCATGCGGACATGGCAGCAAATGTTGCTGTGGTTGATTATGACATGGAAAATCTAGAACCACCAATATTATCTGTAGAAGAGGCTGTCAAGAGATCTAGCTTTTTTGATGTCCCTCCTTTCCTTAACCCAAAACAGGTTGGTGATATATCAAAGGGAATGGCTGACGCTGATAATAAGATTCTCTCTGCTGAGGTAATTTATGATTCATAAACTCTTATCTGATGCTTCTGTGCTCCCTCCTTCTATCTTCCTTCCTTTCTGACCTACTAACTCCACCAGTTTCTCTCTTGTTTTTCTCTGTTTCTGCGACCAATATTTTTCAATTTTTTAATTTCTTGTAAATTTAGCCATATTTAAAATTCAGATAGGACCATCTATTCGTGTAGCTAACCTGATTATTAACTTTTGTCATGGAAGTTCACTAATTCTTTTTTTCTGTTTTTTGGGATCAATAAGTCTACTAATCTGTCCGTTGAATTGTTAGATCCAACTTGGTTCGCAATACTATTTCTATATGGAGACACAAACTGCACTTGCCGTGCCAGATGAAGACAACTGCATGGTAGTATACAGTTCAATTCAGTGCCCTGAATTTGCACATGTGACTATAGCCAAATGCCTTGGTATTCCTGAACATAATGTGCGTGTGATTACAAGAAGGGTTGGTGGAGGATTTGGAGGAAAGGCCATAAAAGCCATGCCCGTAAGTATCATGCTGTGTACTTTCCCAGTTCATTACTTTGTTATCTTCTTTATGTAAAAATCTGCTTGTCCATTGTTGAGGGGCATGTCTTTCCTATTTCCATGTCTCAAACAAAATGTTTTGAGAACCCGAAATGAATAAAGACTATACAGTTAGAATCATTAGATGAGAGATTTATATTCTGTTTGATGTCAAAATAATCCCAATCCTTGACATTTTTTCTCTTGAAGTCTAACGCCTTTTTAACTTGGCTATAAGAAGAAAATGCATCTCTCAATTTGATTAACTGGACGATGACAGAGACTAACTAGAGGCAGGCAGGTTTTTTCTAACAGTGAAATGCTTAATAAATGTGGAATATCTGGGTAGTCAATAGCATTGAAGTTAACCATCTCTATAAGTGGCATTTATGATTTAACAGTAGCTCCATCTTGTAAATCAACGCTATCTTAACTGCAATGTCTTGGTCAGTTATCTTTATCAGTTATATATTTCCTTCCTGAAGCTACCAGACTACTTACAAGGTCATTTTGTAGGTTGCTACTGCATGTGCTCTTGCTGCTTACAAATTAGGCCATCCAGTCAGGATATATCTCAATCGCAAGACTGACATGATAATGGCTGGAGGAAGGCATCCAATGAAAATAACTTACAGTGTAGGATTCAAAAATAATGGGAAGATTACAGGCCTACAACTTGAAATATTAATTAATGCAGGGATGTCTGCTGATATAAGTCCAATGATGCCGCATAATATGCTTGGTGCACTTAAAAAGTATGACTGGGGTGCTTTGTCTTTTGATATAAAAATATGCAGAACAAACCTGCCGAGTAGATCAGCAATGCGTGCCCCTGGTGAGGTACAGGGATCATTTATTGCTGAAGCTGTGATTGAACATGTAGCATCAACCCTTTCCACGGATGTCGATTCTGTGAGACATATTAATCTCCACAGCTATGAAAGCCTTCGTTTATTCTTTGAGGACAGTTCAGGTGAACCTTTGGAGTATACATTACCAACAATTTGGGATAAGTTGGCCTTGTCTTCAAGCTTTGAACAAAGGACTAAAATGATAAAAGAGTTTAATAAGCATAATAGATGGGTAAAAAGAGGTATTTCACGAGTGCCAATTGTGCATCAAGTGACGCTGAGACCAACCCCAGGGAAAGTAAGTATCCTTAGTGATGGATCTATTGTTGTTGAAGTAGGAGGAATTGAGCTTGGACAGGGGCTCTGGACAAAAGTCAAACAGATGACAGCATATGCTCTTAGCTTGATTCAATGTGATGGAACAGAAGACCTCTTGGAGAAAGTTAGGGTCATACAGTCTGATACCTTGAGTTTAATTCAAGGGGGTTTTACTGCTGGTAGTACTACATCAGAATCAAGCTGTGAAGCAGTTAGGCTGTGCTGCAAGATATTGGTTGACAGACTCACCCCTCTCAAGGAAAAGTTGGCAGAGCAAATGGGAGCTGTAAAGTGGGAGACCCTAATTCTTCAGGTAGCTCTCTGCACTCTCAGAAGTTGTTGAGGTACAGATTGTTCAGGAGATATTGTAGTATTTTCTTTAGATACATACTGGATTAGATAAACTTTTCTCTACCTACCAAATGCAGGCATATCTAAATGCTGTGGACTTGTCAACAAATACACTATATGTACCTGGGTTTTCTTCCATGGGTTACCTCAACTATGGTGCTTCAGTGAGTGAGGTCAGTTTATACATGGCTAGATTTCATTTTATGATACCATTCTTCTTTTGTTAGCGTGATCTTATGGATACTAATTTTGAAGCTATGACACTACAGGTGGAGGTAAACCTTCTAACAGGAGAAACCACAATTTTGCGCACAGATATTATATATGACTGTGGCCAGAGCTTAAACCCTGCTGTGGATTTAGGGCAGGTTAGCCAGATATACTCTTTTTGACTTCAAATATTGGTTCTGAAGCATGCTATGCCCTCCCCTGTTATACATTTATGCACATACTTACAGTAGAATGAGTCTCTCCAGTGTTCATTTGTGAATAGATCTATTAAACGTAAGGTTTTTTTTTTTTTTTTACTAATGCAGATTGAGGGAGCTTTTGTTCAAGGAATTGGGTTCTTTATGTTTGAGGAATACTCAGAAAATTCAGACGGATTAGTGGTTGCAGAAGGCACCTGGACATACAAGATCCCCACAGTGGACACCATACCTAAACAGTTTAATGTCGAAATCCTTAGCAGTGGACATCATCAAAAGCGCGTGCTATCATCCAAAGGCAAGTTAAACATTCATCAAATTCATCACATTTGTGTGTCAGTAATCTCTGCATGTTTCAAATTTTCACCTTGATCTAAACTGTAAGCTCTTCAATATGTTTGTTCTCTCTTTTTGCAGCTTCTGGTGAACCACCGTTACTTCTGGCGGTGTCAATTCACTGTGCTACAAGAGCAGCCATAAAAGAAGCCCGGAAACAACTTCTTTCATGGTGCGGCCAAGACGGGTCTGATTCAACATTCAAGTTGCCGGTACCTGCCACCATGCCTATTGTTAAGGAGCTCTGTGGTCTTGATAGTGTGGAGAGGTTCCTGCAGTGGACAATGGCCATAAAGAGTGAGAATTCTGCATAAGCTGTAGTGTTTCCACACACAAACAGGGTAGATTCAGGTTTGTTAGAAACAAGAGAAAAATCTTAATTTTTTCATGATAATTAAAACAGGGTAGATTGAGTAGTTTGTCATGATCATATGGTCATGGTGGAATGGGAACCATAGTCCAACCTTTCTAGTGACAGTTAAAGTCTTGAACCGACCCGTTTCACACATCCATATATTTTTCCCTTTCCATGGTTAGACACTTAGACTTTAAACTTCTAAGCTTTTATTACATGGGATTTATTTTTCTTCAATGATAAATGTTATGTTATAAAATAAGTGATACTTGACTATGAAAAAGTAGAAATATATAAAGATAAGGTAAGGCAATGAGGTAAGAAGAGAAGAGAAAGTATGGAAAATAATTTGAGCTTTCTATGCTTCCATTTCTTTCACTCTTCAGTTTTTGTTTTTAATTTCATATAATATCAATCTATATATAAATTAAAAGATAATGAATATTACATAAATTCAATGGATGAATTTAATTAAATTCATGGATGAAACTTAATTAGAATATTAAATAAAATTTGTTAATTTCATGAATATGGCGAGTCAATTAATATAACAGTTCATTGAATAAAGTTTAATAGGTGAAAGGACAAAAGTAAAATATGTATTCATTTGTATAATTGATAATTGTAATTTAATTATATACTCTTTGAATTTATGGTACAAATATATTAACTAATATCAACATTTGAAGCCTTGGTATTAACATTTGCTATTCCCCGTGTTCAAATATATATATATATAAACATTTAATTGTGTATATAAACCAACAAACCGTTCATAAAAAAAAAAAAAAAATCAGTTAACCATATATAGCCACAATAATTTCTTATTGACAAAATTATATATATTTATACTTTTTTTATGTAGAGGAAAAATGCGGTAATTAATAATAATATTTTTCGAAAAAAAGCATAGTTAATAACCTTAAATAGATTAAATTAGAGTACACATACTCAATTTTCAAAAGGTGACAAAGTTTATCCTTAATAAATGAGCGCGTGAAGAAGACGCAACATAATATTACCGTTAAATAATATTACCGTTTAGAGGCTAAACCGCCTTAATCACGTCCATAAAAAGCAGCCCTCCCCGTTTTTTCCTTCCCGCTGCCACTCAAACACAAGAGTCGCCGATGATCGTCTCCAAGTTTTGGTTTCTAAACATCTTCCTCTCTCTAGACTCTAGAGTAAGGTTCCCACTGCCATCGACGGAGGTGGTTTTTGCTAGCCCCTCTGCCGTCGTCAACCCTCGCCGCCCATGGTCACCCCCACCTCCACCACTGTTCTTCCTGTCCCTGCTCCTGTTCTCTCCCTTTTGAACCCTAAATCTTCAAAAACCTCAGAACCCACTGCCCACGATTACCCTCTACACACTCCACAGATCACAGATCTCAGAATGGAAGGTGCAAACCCGAAGCCCAAAACACCCGTGAACCCACTTTCCCAACCTCACCCCTATACCATAGAGGAGGAACCTCCCGATTCTGTGTCCTCATCTCCTGATGCCTGTTGCTTCAATCTGCCAAAGTCCAGGTCTCCCTTGGTTTGTGCAAAGTTTAGTTTCTTTATATTTTTTTTATGATCTAAGTTTAATAATTTTCATAGTTTCTGAGAAAATTTCACAAAAGTCAATTGGACTGGGTGCTTGGGTGTATGTTTTGGTTTTGAGAAAAAATACATGAAATTGCTGTTCTTTGGTATCTGCCTTTTAGGAATTTCTTGTCTTAATTAATGGAGTTTTTAAGCTCTTCGTGGTTTGTTTATTATATAAAAGTATTTGCTTATGATATTTTGACGTGTTTTTTGCATGGGGATTGAGCGGTTCTGGTGTTTGATAGCAATAAGCTTGGCAACATGAAATCAAATGGGGAATTACATGCATGTGATTGGAATTTCAGGTTTTTCTTCGAAATATTCACAGCGTTTTAGTTGATTGAAGATTCAATTCTGCTATATATGATACACGTCAGCTTTTTAGAGATAACTCTTCAATGCTTAAGGAATGATATCTACCCTGATGCTATCTTAATTACAATTTTGTTGTCATTGTGAAAACTTTGTCATTTGTTTGGACTTGGTTCTTTTCACGGCGTTTACACTCCAAATGTTCCTTGTTGTGAAGGCAAAATTTTTTTGTTAAACTTTAATGGCATTATTCCCACTTTACTAAAGTGGATCTGGAAGATTAACACTTTACCAAGAATCCAACACTTCATATGGTTGCTTAATCGTGGAAGATAACTCACTAAGGACATGCTCTATGGTTGGGGTATTGGTGATTCCAACCTTTGTCCTATTTGCAATACCTTCCCTGAAACTCTTGATCACGTCTTTAGAGAATGCTTATTTTGCTAGTCTTTTATGGACGGTTCTCACTCCCTATTCTGTTATTTCCTGCTTTCAAGGTCTCATTTTTCAAGCTTGGTTAAAAACCAACTGTTGTTTGCAATCCGAATTTAATGGGATCAAGTGGAACACTATGTTCTCCTTTATCATTTGGTCTCTTTGGTATTTTAGGAAACAACAACTTCATCATGGCAAGAGATTTAATATCCGTCTTGTAAAGTAATTTATTTGCTCTAAAGTTGCTGAATTTCCAAAACTCTCTTAGTGTGCAGAAAGCTCCCCAGTCTAGAACCTGTATAGATGGGTGCTGGAAGCCTCCACCAATTGATGTTATTAAATTAAATACAGATGGGGCTGCTAGTACCAGTTCTGGTCAAGCCGGAGCTGGGGGTGTGTTTAGAGATCATGGGGGCTATTGGTTGTTGGGGTACACATGAAACATTGGCCACACTAATAGTCTTGCTGTGGAGTTATGGGCCATTCAAGATGGTCTTAGCTTTGCTGTTGCTAGAGGCTTTACAAAGATCATTGTGGAAACTGATTCAAAAGTTGCTGTTACTTTGCTTAATTCTGACCGTAATAGTTTTCATCCATTTGCTACTCTCCTTGATGATTGCAGGGCTCTCCTACGCCAACCTCCTGAAGTTCAGCTGCGTCACATCTACCGCGAAGCCAACACTGCTGCGGATCTTTTGGCTAAGATGGGAACTACTTTAGTTTCTTCTGTTGTTGTTTTGGAACAGTGTCCTGCTGATATGTATAATATGCTTTATCTTGATGTAATGGGGAACTCGCTTCCCAGAAACATTGTTACCTAATGCTATTCCCATCTTTTTCTACCTAAAAAAAAAAAAAACAGCTTAACACTTCTGTCACTGTGTTGTTTACTTTTAGAAAGTCGTCAATAGGTGTGCACTTGATCAATGGGTTTCTTCAACAGAACAACTTTTACGTGTGCCATGTAAGGAACTGGATCAAAGCAATATATCAATTTTTGGTGCATCTTGGAAGCTTTTAAACATCATTTCTTTTACATGGTATATATTCGTATTTTGCTGCTTTCTTTTTTCTATGCAATGGCACAACTAAATCTCATTAGCAGTGCACTAGATGAGGGTTATATATCCATTTCTCGCAGTACTTGGTGTGTACTTTAATTCATTATTCCTTTTGCTTTTCTTGTAAATTTTCTCTTTCTGTTGGTTAATATTGTTTGATGGATGCCATATAAGAACCATGGACGAGTGATGCAACCAAGAGTGTAAGTTTGCAGCAGTTTAATGCAATATGGTGGAAATTCCAACTTATTTTCTATTGAGTACATCATCTACTTGCCTACTTTTGGATGTAATTCAACATTTGGCTCACTTCTAGGACTAATGCCATTATAATCGTCATCATCACAATGATAGAGAAACTACTTGTGATGCTACAGGGGTAGACAAATTGTTGTTCTACATTTGACATGGGATGGCCACAGATACCTCTTCTAAGATATTTAGTTAGTTTCTTGGCATGATATATTTTGTTCTTTTAATCTTTTCTCACTAAAAATGTCAACATTTGTGATGCTGTTCCAATGCTGTCTAACTCTATCCATCCATAGCAGTGATGTAGGCCCTTTGGGTTAGTATTTGTCAAGCTGAACAGTCCTCACCAGTGAATGAACCCCAATTGACACTTGGAACTAACTCTTTATATTTTTAATTCATATCACTTCGATAGGAAACTGCTATCTAATGAATATTTGTTATAATTCCTTTTTTTTTGTTTTGAATTCAATACCTGTTATAATTATGTTCTTCATGTTTTGTGTATCTCTATGATAATGTTGTTTTCTTGTGCGGAGTAACCTTGTTCAGTAATGTCAGTGAATATATTCATAATTTTTCCCTTTCTAATTAGTGTGTTTGTCATGCATGGTTACAGCTAATTCTAATTAGAAGAGTTGATGGGAGCTCTTGGCTGGAGCTTGCAGCATACACATATTCTTCCAAGGTACATGATTTACTTGTTATTAGCATTCATTCCTTCATTCATACATTCATTTATTTATTCATGTGTTCATCATTCATGCATTCATGGTTCATGCATTCATATATACATACATGCATACATAAATATATTCATGCATTCATTCATTCATGTGCTCATCATTCTTGCATTCTTGCATTCATGCACACATTCATACATGAGTAAATTTATTCATTCACTCATGCCTACATTCATTCATTCACATTCATACATACATACATACATGCAGATATACATACATATCTACATTCATCTTTCTTGCATTCATTATCTATGAATACATACATTAACTCATTCATGCATGTGCATTCATTCATTCTTTTAAACAAGGACCATCACTTTTTTGAATAAAAATATCAAACTTTGTTATTATTTTTTTAATAAATCTGGCCAGCCTCAAGCATGAGTTATATAGGACACAAAAATCTATGATAAAAGTTTATTTTTACTGAAAATTTTCACAAATAATTTTTTAAATAAATTTAGTCTAGAACATGAGTTTACAGCACATGGCTTGACTCAAATTAGATTCATAACTGATTTTCAATAAAATCATCAAGACTCATAATTTTTTTAGATATCCAGCATGAGTGTTTGGTGTAATCATTAAGAAAGTATTTGCTTTTTCTTTTTTTTTTTTAAACAATAATAAAATGATATAGAGATAAAATAAACCACAACTCCAAAATGAATTTTCAATTTTTAAATGATTTTGAATCAGCAATTTAGTTATTTCATAAGCTTTGAAGTTGTTGTGCACTTTCCCCCGGATTTACCTGAAGCATGTGGAATGAGGAAGAGTAACATGGTAGCTGATATGTTAGCTAAGAAAGGGGTCCAAACCTCTTATGCCCTTCATATTTTGTATGATTGTCCACCTATGTGAACCTTTTGTGTTTTGCTGACTCTGTAGGAGTTTGCTACCCCAGATCTCAAGTATTTATAATATACATTTCTCCTTTATCCAAAAAAAAAGCTTTGAAGTTGCAGTTGCAGGTGGACGTTATTATACTTATTTATTTATGTCTCCTGCTTTGGCTTTGTGGAATTGGTCCTCTCCCGACCGAAAAAAAAAAAAAGCCTAAAATGATATCTTATCTTTATATGAGTGCATAAATGAATACAGAAGGTAAAGTGTTTGCGTGCTATTCTCTTCTCATATCATGTAGCTTAACAAACACTAACTAATGAACATTTTGTAGCAACATTAAAAGATAACATTATGGAAGTTTGATTGATGTTTATTGAAATTATAATTAATTTCCAAACATGAGACTCTAAATTTTTAAAAGATAAAATTGACACTTTTTCCAAATACAAAATATAAAATATTGTTTATTTTGAAGTATATTATGTACCCTCTTATATTAAAGGTTAAATTCTCAATTTGGTTTTTGAATCATTGACGGACCTTCGATTTAGTTCCTGAACTAAAAAATTTCATGATTTGGTCCCTGAACTATTGTATGAACCATCGATTTGGTTCCTATTATTTACCAATTTGCTCTAAGTTGATCATTACATTCAAAAAACAACTAACGTGTCTGTTACTTAATGACGAAAAATAGTAACTTAACAACAAAAAACAGTAACTTAACGGTCACATGTCATATTAATAACAAAATACGTCAGTTAGTTTTTGTATGAAAGAATCAATTTGGGATAAATTGGCAAACAATATAGACCAAATTGGGGTCTGTACAATAGTTTAGGGATCAAATCAGGGATTTTTTTAGTTTAGGAACCAAATTAAGGATCCGTACAATAGTTTAGACCAAATTGAAGATTTAACTTATATTAAAATAACAGTATTTTTTAAAAAAGATTATTATTTTTTATTTTTTAAAATAAATAATTTTTTTTTTCTACAAG